GTCCGGAGAAATGCTCCGCCGACCTTGCCTTGCCTTGCCTTTCCCGCATCGGGGCCACGCGGTTCTGTGGCGGCTGCCCCGGTCTGACCCTCTCCCTCTCCCCCCCCGCGCGCAGGTGTGTCTCTCCTCCTCCACCTCTTCGGCGGACACCTGCTGGGGCCGCGCAGGTGGGAAGGAAGCCACAAGTGTGCCTCCGGAGGGCGAGAAAAGGCAGGCGAATTCCCCGACTGATGATGAGATCATCATGATTTTATACTCCACGTTAATTAATCCAGAATTGCCGCTTCCCGCTGCGTTTAGTCACTACATTCCCTGACGGGGATTTGAACGCGTTAAAATGAGCGAGATCCGTCCTGGCACCTTTTTCAGACCATTGGGAGGAGGCGGAAGCAGGGTGGCCAAAAGCATGTTAGCCATTCTAAAGCATATGAGTAGCATTTATAAACCATCATCTATCTTAGACCTGCAGAGCTAGAAGGATAATCGAGTCCAACCCTTGTCAAGGAGGCGCAGTGAGGAATCGAACTCCCAACTTCTGCCTTAAGTTGCTGAGTTCTTCTTTTATTGCCTATCCTGAGGTGGGAGTAATGACCTTTTCCCATAGAAAGGTGGGAATATAAGAGCACGACTTTACCTACTAAAGAGAGTGAAAAGTTTTAATTTATTTAAAGGAAATGTGTAGATTTAAGCTATACCTGCCTTGAAATTTGCTTTAGATAATGAAGTTCCATACTTTCCCTTCAGTAGAATATACTACGATGCCTATGACCAACAACATTTCTATTAGCAAAAACAGGAACAATAAAAAAGTCATGTAAAATGCTGATCCTACATAAATCCTCCTCTTCGTTATTCCTCTGCTGTTGGATTTGGAGATCACTAAGGCTATTGTGAGTTTGGACTGCAGCATTTCTAAACAAGGATGTTGTGTTGCATCCAAACCAGCCTCCCAGATTTCTTTAGCCAAGAAGTTGTTCTCCCATTCATTCTATCTTGAATGAGCATTTATAACACCAAAGAGCGTCTGCAGGATTGTTTTGCCAGAGGGAATGATGGGAGGAAAGCAGCATTGTGGTGTGTGAGCATAATGTATCTGCATCATGCCTGCTGTTACAACACACTCCTGTGCATTTTACTTGTGTATGTGTCTCGCTGTGTGTGCATGTGTGTGCACACTTTGATCTTTGGTTTCACATTCAGTGATGTTTAAAAGTTTACAATATGGGGGGCCCCAGAACATGGAATTTCACAGCATTTGTTTAGAGGCATTAACAAAATGCAAACTCCAACAAAAGTTTGTGTGGTGTGTCAAACATTTGGGGGTGGGGGTGGGGCTTAAGAAGAGGGCAAATAATAACTCAACCCAACCCAAAACAAAACAAAACAAATGGACAGATACGGTACTTAGGATTTTACTCGGTATTATTTGACATTGTTACCTTATCACAACACCGACATCTTCACAATACTTGTTAGGGGGAAAAATTGGTCCCCGTGTTCTAGAATGATCTCTTTCCTCTTGGAAATATTAGCAAATATGCCGTAGGTGTAGAGAGTAGCAGTGGGATCTTCATGGATTGGAGGTTGGGATAGTTCAGATAAATCTGCTTTTGGCCAAGTTTGTTGGTTCCAAAAATGATCATAGAAATCATATAAAAGTTTAGTTGGAAGGGGCCATCAAGTCCAATCCCCTGCTCAATGCGGGGATATAATCAAAGCATATCTGCTAGGTGATTATCTAAGTTTTTCTAGAATGCCTCCAGTGTTGGAGCACTCACCACCTCTCAAGGTAATTGGTTCCACTGTCATACTGCTCTAACAGTAGGTTTTAACTGATATTCAATCTATATCTGGCTTCCTTTAACTTGAGCCCATTGTTGCATGTCCTGCACTCTGGGATAATGGAGCACAGATCTTGTCCCTCCTCTGTATGACAGCCTTTCAAATATTTGAAAATCGCTATCATATCACCCCTCATTTTTCTTTTTTTCAAGAAGGCTTGGTTTCCAGCCCCCTGATCATCCTTGTGGCCCTCCTCTGAAATTGTTCCAATTTGTTAGGATCCTTCTTGAAGTATGGCATCCAGAACTGGACACAATACTCAAGGTGAGGCCTAACTAGTGCTGAATAAGGGGGGGACTAGCACCTTGTGGGATTTGGAAACTATATTTCTATTAATGCAGCCGAAAATGGCATTTGCCTTTTTCATAGGCACATCACACTGTTACATGATGACAGTTCACAGCCACTTTGTTACACCAGCTAATGTGAAATAATTTTGTATCTCTTGAAGACTGAATTGTACAAGTATTCCTTTGAGCTTCATGGCTCAAATCTGTTGAGAAAACAATATTTTGTTCTTTGTAACACTGGGTAACAGTGGAAAGGAGGCTTTTAGGACCCAAAGAGGCTCTCTCCTTTCCCCTAACCTATTGCTAAAGTTTTTTCCTGCCTCTGGCTTAGCCTTCCTCTCTTCCTGTTTGTTTGCTCTTCTTGTTTGTTAGTCTCTCTCAGCTCCCAGTCTCCAACCACATAGCCAGCATGGAGGGTCTGTCTAGCTCCCACATGACTGAGACTCATCGCAATTTTTTATCCTTCTGACTGTAGCTATAGACAGTAACTGTATGTAATGACATCTTATTTTCTACTTTAAATGCTTCTATAGCATTTTTATGCCAACAGAGTGCTAATCTGTATGTGGTGGGTGGTAGTGGTAAGTCTGGACAGATTTCTCCATGTTTTGTACTTCGCTAACGAGAAGGGGAATAACCAAATTAATTTCTCCAATGGATTATGGCCCCAGACATCCAGCCCAGAATGAGCAATTTTGCTCAGACAGATAACTAACCAATATTTTTGGGTTTTTATTTTTTTCTAAGTATTGCAACTGTTTTCTTTCTTCCCTCACAACTAAATCTCACACTGGCTGAAGAAAAAAGGAGTTGTTTGTTCATTTTGTTTGAACTCTTTTTTCTGGATCAGAAAGCAAACTCACTCAGAAATACAAGATGGATTTTGATCAGACTAAACATTTTTCTGGACAACTTCTAACATTTACTTCTGGTAATTTCAATGGAAAATGAGGCTGAAGCTTTATTTAAGAGTCCTGCCAGTCCATGACTGTATTGAAAAAGATGAACCTAGAGAAACAGATGCATGACCTAAATTAATGTGGCAGAAAACCATTTCTGTAGCTGGCAATAATATGTGAAAATCTATCCTATGAGGAGATGATTTATATAGGCCTATGTGAGACTGAAACAGAAATGTTAAATGTTCTAGAGAAATCATATGGTTTTACCAGTTTTAAATCACATTTTGATCAGAAAACTTGTTAATTAGAAGAAAGACTTGACAATACATAATTGCTTTGCTAACTGTATTTAAATAATTTGAGCATCACTGGACTTAACTTAGATAATTTAAAAAAAAGACTTCCTTTCAGCAACAGTAGGTGAAACATTTGATGCTTTTATATCTATTCTGAATGGCAAGGAATTAACCTTGCCAGAAGCCCTTAGTTGCCTCAGGGAGGAATGCATAGATCCAAGGATCTCTCCTGAGATATGAATGGGAAGGACAATAGAAAGATCACACCCAGAAGCCAGTCATGGAGCTGTTGGAACTGTGGTGGAAAAGACCATCTAGCTAAAGAATGTTTATCTTCTAGAGATTCCTCAGCCAAAGCTAGTCAAACCAGTTCTGAAACTGAAACCTGGTTCTATGAGAGAGGCAAAAGAGAAGGCAGCAAGGATTTTAAATGGAGACCTTGCATGGCTTATAATTCTGAAAGAAAATCAGATGCTTGATGATTGATTCAAGGTGTAGCAGCCACTGCACACATAAGGAGTAATTCTTTTTAACCGTAGATGGGAATGCTGGTCGAAATATTCAAATAATTGATAGTGACTGTATGGCTATGGAAGGAATTGGAAGTGGTACTTTAACATACAAACTGTCTGATGAAATCAGTGCCAATACTGTACTCTAAAATTTAATGGTGTTTTATATGCTCCTGATTTGTAATGCAACATGCTGCTTCAGCCTTACATAATAAAGGTTTTTCAATATACATTGAAAACAGAGTGTGTGGTACAGAAAAATAATTCTAACCAAAAGGGAAAAATCAAAATAACGTTCCCAACAGAATCCTTACTGTATTCAGTACTAGAAGTACAAGCTGCATAACTCATATGTATGTGCTCTCTGTCTGTCTTATGCTTAAAATGCACCTGGGCAGCGCATTTGCTTATGAGTCTGAGTGCATGAAAGAAGGCCAGAAAATTACAAATACTACCTGCATGATTCCCCTTATGGCAACAGTATTTCAGCAGGATTTTGGCCCATGTTTTGTGCATGAAATAGATCTGATAAAAACAGGCGTAGTTAAATGCAAATCCCTCTGCGTCCATTTTAAAAAAATGAATTTATGATCCTGAGAGAAGGGGCCCAACCACAATTGCTCAAGGTAGCCATCTATATTTTCTGTTTCTCATTAAACAAAAACAAAACAAAACAAAAAAGTCCAGCATTCTGCATTATATGTAGTTTATGATTTTGGTACTTAGTGTCTCATACATCTACACTGGTACATCATCCCTTAGTCTTTGTACTTCTTCATCACC